TGCCATTGGATTCCAGCCTGGGCAACAGAGTGAGACTCCATCTTGAAGAAAATATAAACAAAAAGCTAAACAAAACCACAAAAGGAGGGAAGAAGGGGGCCACTTGAGCTTTCTAGTTCCAGCAGGGAGAGCCTGGAGGCTTAGCTGGCTGCTGCCTTTGCTTCTCACTGCCACAGGGTGTCAGTGTTGATAGATGGTCCCACATAGTACCATTAAACCAAGCAGATCTGCAGATCCCGGTTCCCAGCTGCTGTGGATCTCTGAGGGAAGATGATCTGCATCTCTGGGGCCTGGTCCAGCTATGGGTGTCCTCTTGCTTGGGTTTCCAGGGTTCCAGTTCTTAGAGCTCAGTAGTTTGGATGAGCTGTCCCGCAAAGTTCTTCAGACTAGGCTGGGCTCTTTCCTTTGTAGACTTGGAACCTCTGTTCCCTTTCCTTCCCCAAGGATCCAACAACCAGGGGGTCAGTCAATGCCTCCTCACTGATTCTTAAAGCAGGAAGGATCTCATCTCTCTCTTCCAGTATAATAGAGCTTCTAAGGGTAGCTGCCTTCAAAGGAGGCCCCATCCTCAAATGGTTTTGATCATATTCTTTCTGAACATTAGAGCAACCAGCTCATGCTTAAATTGCAACTATTTTGATTATCTCCAGAGGAACAGTGGCTTTTAATACTCCAAAAGTTTATCCTCTTTATTATTATTTTTGAGACAGTCTTGCTCTGCCACCCAGCTGGAGCGCAGTGTGGCATGATCTCGGCTCACTGCAACTCTACCTCCCAGGCTCAAGCGATTTTCATGCCTCAGAAGCTGGGAATACAGATGTGTACCACCACACCTGGCTAATTTTTGTATTTTTAGTAGAGACAGGGTGCCACCATGTTGGCCAAGCTGGTCTTGAACTCTTGGCCTCCTCCTGCCTCGGCCTCCCAAAGTACTGGGATTACAGGCATGAGCCACGGTGCCGGACCATTTATCCTCTTAAGGATGATCAAGCTGACATTCTGGTGTCTTTCTCTCTAGACCCGAGAAAGCATAAATTACATCTTCAGTGGGGCTTCTTACCATAGGGTTAAAAATAGTATTTGCCTTAGAGGATTATAGTTAGAAATGACACAGTATTTGTTATACACTAGCATGGTGCTGGAGACATGTGTTACATTTGTTGGTTTTTATTATTACACTGATAATTCTGGCACTAATTACGCCTGTCATAATAATCACAGTAAACCCAAAGCAAGAATCAGAAATCCATGGCAGCCCTGAGGGCCATCAAAAGTCATATACATTGTGCACAGCTTTCTGATTTTTCTAGTCTCTTTCTTCCTCCTCCCCCTACTTTCCCTTCAGTTTGGTCCCTTAAGATTTAGGACTACTAGTAGGGTGACCAGTCCTACTAGCTGAGTTTGCATTGAGCTGAGGGATTCTTGGAACGAATGTGGGACTTATGGTGTTGAAATTGAGAAAGTCTCCTGCGAACCAGGACAAGTTGGTAGCCCTAATCCCAGTGGTGCTCATTGTGTACCTCAGCACACCAGGGCCTTCTGAAAGAAGTGTCAGCTTGTCTTGGCCTAGAAGCCCAGACCCTATAATTCAGAAGAAAAGGGAAGGGGTCAGTTCTGCTCTCAACTGTGTATAAAGGGACAAAACCCATCATGTGTATTTCAACAATGCTCATGGAAGAAATTCAGAATTGGTCATTCTGAAATTCAGAATAGGTGAGGGGAAATTCAGAACACGACAGAGTCAGAAAAACATAATCCAAGGGGGTCAAGGATGACTCGAGCTCTGCCTACTGAATTCTTCCTTGTGTGAGTCTCGCTAATCTTATCTTCAGGGAAGATTTTTCATTAGAAAATACCAAGGGCCAGGTGCGGTGACTCATGCTTATAATCCCAGCACTTTGGGAGGCCAAGGCAGGTGGATCACTTGAGGCCAGGAGTTTGAATCCAGCCTGGCCAACATGGTGAAACCCTGTCTCTACTAAAAATACAAAAATTAGCCCTGTGTGGTGGTGCGTGCTTATAATCCCGGCTACTCAGGAGGCTGAGGCACAAGAATCACTTGAACCTGGTAGGCAGAGGTTGCAGTGAGCCAAGATTGCACCACTGCACTCCAGCCTGTATCTCAAAAACAAAACAAAACAAAACAAAAAAAAAAAAAAACAAGAAAAACCGGAACAAACTATTAAAATTTTTAGTTGTGAGAAGATATAAAAATTTCCATTTTAATCATTTGATGTGTACAGTTCAGTCACGTCAAGTACATTCACATTGTCAGCCAGCCATCACCATCATCCATCTCCAGAAAGCTTTTCATCTTGCACAGCTGAAACTCTGTGCTCATTAAATAGCTCCCTATTCCTTCCTCCCTGCAGCCACTGGCAGCCATCATCCTCCTTTTTGTCTCTATGAATTTGACTGCTCCGAGCACCTCATAGGAGTGGAATCAGACAGTATTTATCTTTTTTGATTGGTTCATGAGAAACACTTTTTAGAAGACTGGTGGAATTAGGTGCCACAGCTGGCCCGGGCCTCTCATCTCCTTTTTCCCTGTTCCACCAATACAACAATTGTGGACACGTGGATCTCTAACACAGTGTTTGTCAACCTTGTTTACACATTAGAATCACCTGGGAAACTTTCAAAGTACGTTTGCCTGGACCACATTCCAGGATAATTATATCAGAATCTCAGGGAGTGAGGGCTTACGTATGCAGTGCTTAGAAAACACTCTAGGTATCTCAAATTTGCACCGGAAATTGCTGTCCATGCCAAATTGACGAGCTGAAAGGTGGAATAACATTTGGCAAATGAAAGAATTTAAAGTAGATGGTCTTTAAGGCCTTTTTACACTCTAAAATGTGCAAAGTCAGGTAGTATCTTTCTAATTCTCAATCAGGGGTGGTTGAGTGGATTCTCCTATACCAGAGGGGAGCTGGGTGGACACTTTCTGGACCATGGCTGCCCCTGCAGTTCAGTTATGTTACAACAACCCCACTTTAGAACCCTCTTAGCCACCCACGTAAGCGCTGGCCATTATCATTCCCTGGCCACATGTATTCAACAAATACTTAGTAAGATAACTCACATTTCCTTTGAAAACACGCAAGCCAAGAGATAATGATGTTTGCACTCATTCCATCGACTTCTAAAGACTGTGAGATTTCTAAATAATTTTAAGGCCAAATGAAGGACGTTGCAGAAATACTGATTCCAGCTTCAAGCAAGAAATATTTTTCCGCAATGAGAGTGGTTTAATAGAATGAGGAGCCTTGTGAAAGAGTGCTTCCCTGGTTCTAGTGCTACACAGTTGTAATTGGAATACTGACTGTAAGGATAATATTCCCAAAGTAAAAGAAACTAGAATGACTTATGAGGCTCTTCTAACTCCAAAATGCTGTAAAGAGCCAGATAGTAGAAGAATGAGATAAAAGATGTAGGAATGGCTTCTGTGCTAAGAAATGCAGCAGCTCCAGAGTTTTGATTTCAACTTTCAACCACTTTGCAAGGACTGAGTTATTAACTGTAAAATAGCCAAAAATGAACACAAGTGGGTGTCATTATCAAGAAAATTCATTGTAGCACATAAAAATCAGAACTTCTAGAGAAGATTAATTAGGGGGTTGATTATTTGCATTGCAAAATAATTATTGCCTTCATAAAATCATTTTTGGATAGTAAAGTTCCTGTGACCATCTTAGTATCAATTTTTAGGTCCTCAGTCACTTAGCCAAAGTGCTTGGGAGAGTAAAAGCTTTAAAGAACTAACCACTGCTCTTTAGTGCATATTTGGAAATAATAAACATCTGAGTTGTCATTAGGAAAACAATATAATTTCACAACAGGTATTTAGACACTCCATCAGAAAATGCAGACCATCCAAAAATTCACTGCAAAAATAACTATAATTTCTTGAGTGCTATAACATGTAAAAAATATCATTGCATTTAATCCTCACATAATCCTTGTAAAGCAATATATTATCTCAGCTTGGTCAAGTAATTTATTTAGGAGTGCCAAATTACATACAGCCCAAATTTTTCTGATTCTTTCCCTTATACAAAATTAGCCCAATCAACATATCTTAGAACAAAATTGCTCAAAGACAGTTTGGAGACCATATGTGTTTGGGTTAATTTTTGCCCTTAAAATATCTTCAATATGTGTTGCCAGTGTTTAAACACTAGATTTCTTGTAAAACTCTGGATGTCTTGGCTGTCTCAAAGAATCAGAAAGTCTGGAAGCCATGTCCCTGATGTCCTGATGGTGACAGGCTGGGTGGATCCTACCTGAGCAGGGTCTTGAGTTCTGCAGGTGGTGCTGGTTTCCACTCCTCTGTATTGCATACCCCTAAGGGAAGCGAGTATCAGCTTGGATTTATCCCTTCCTATCCAGCCCCCATTGCCTATATTGTTACCTATCTAGCACCTGTTGGCATTGCATTTGCAACCCCAAAGAAAATACCTCTTCCACTTCCCTTGCCCTAATTCAGACCCCAAATGCTCTGGTTCTGTACATCTCAAACTCATTTTGCATTGTTCTCATTTCCAAAGGGTAGTTGGGCTTAAGGAATATTCATCTTAAAATTCTTCTGTAAACAAGTAGTTCTACGACATTGTTTTCTCACTTGTTGAGAAATTTTTTCCTCTGCACTTAAAAGCCTATCTTGTTTTCATTTCTTCCCACTCCTGAGGGGTAGGTTTGGTGGTGCTGATGATGGCCGGGGAGGAAGAAATGCCTTCAGATCATCTCTGGGCTGACCAGTGAGCTATTACCAGCAAGCTAGGAGCACTGACCTGGTGGAGTGGTCTCAGTGAGTAATAGATAGCAGTGCTGTGCCAGCTTTCTTCTGGCCTAGAAAGAGTCAAATCCTTTATGTTTCAGGGAACTGGTTCCCAATAGACCCCATAGGCCATGCAGGTTGTCTTCCCAACCTGCCCCTTGCTCCATACCCCCACCCTCCACCCCATAATATTAGAGAAGGGCACCTAGTCAGACAACATGATGCAACTTAATTTTATTAGGACAGGGCTGGTGGGCACTGGAGTGCCACCTTCCAGGGCCAAGAGAGGCACTGGGAAGGGGTCACAGGGATGCCATCCAGCAGCTAGAGGCCACAGAGGCCCTCCACAGAGAGGCACTGCACAATGCGCAGGAATGTCTTGACCTTGTGCATGTCCTTCCTGAAGTAATAGAGCAGCCAGTAGCTCTTGAGCAGTGTGTCATTGTTGTGCAAGTTTGTGTCAAACATGCTGCAATTTTGCTTGATGATCTCCCCAGTCTGGTGGCTGACCTCTTCCAGCCTCTGCAAAGTGAAGGAAGAGAAAGAGAGGCCGAGTGCTTGGACACTGTTCCCTCCCTCTCTTATTTTTCTCCCACCCCTCCAGGATGTAGAGAAAGGCCTGGATAATTCACTAGTGGAAATGAAGAATAAGCTGATTTCTCTTGAGTCAGGGCCTTACTGCTACAAAGAGAGCAGCAGTGTTTTCCCTAGCCCTTGAAGCCAGTGTGGCCCCAGATTGGCTGGCATAAACCTCACCCCATCACAGTTTGAATGCCTTCTTCTAGGTCCTTCAGGGACTCATAGATGTTGGTGTTCGAGACCCTATGCAGTTCACTGTTGGCAAAGACACCCCTGAGGAGCTGCACGGGTTTGAGCCAGGACTGGATGAACAGCAGGGAGATGTGGAGCAGCTCTAGGTTCTGCAGGGGAAAGACTGGCAGTGGGTGTGCTGCCTGGGAGATCTGACCACAGGCCTCCCCATCCCCACCTGGGGAGAGGGCGGCCACTCACAGATTTCGCCAGCATTTCCTCCTTGTTTGAGGGTGTCAGGATAGACTCTGAGAAGCAGAGGGAGGTCTTGGGGTTCTGCAGGAAGAAATACTTCTGTTCATTTGGGATACAATCTTCTTCCTGGGAGAAGGACCACCCATCAAGGTCTATGCTGGTGACCAGCTCCATTCTTACTTTTCTGGGACCTCACTCAGCATATGATCATCTGCTTGCATCTTTGCCTCAGAAAACAACCCTGAGCTCCTTCATCTCCTCCCATTACTTCCCAGCAAGGGAAAGTCACCCCTTCCTATCACCCCTGATGGGCATCTATTCCCCAAGAACTTACAAACTCCTGGTAGGTGTCAAAGGCCAGCTGATGCAGCTGATGGGCATGGAGCACAGCGTCTTCCAAAAGCCTGGATAAGGGAATGCGTGGAAGGGCACCAGTCTCTTGAAGCCAGGGCAGGCAAAGCAGGATGAAAGCCAGGAGCAGGGACATCTGGGAGCCTGGGGAGAAAAAGGTGGGGAAGGGAGGGAGCTGGAGAGCAAGAGGCCAGTGCTCTTCTCAGGGCCTGTTTTTTTTTACCTCTCCCTCCAGGGACCAGGAACATTCTGAGATTGGCCAAATATCTGGGCCTTTATGGTGATACTCACCTTCAGAAGCACCAAACCCGAGGGTTAGTGCCCCCGTCCCATCTACAGGCATATTGTAGTATCCTAAGGGATATCAGGGGCGCTTACCTGCAGCCATTGCAGCTAGGTGAGTTGTCCACAGGACTCTGAGTGGTTTGGGGAGTTTGGCCTTGGGATCCTGGAGCTGGTCTCTTGTGGGCCCTTTTATACCCTGGCCCCTTCTCTCTCCCTACTTGCCCCTGTTTCTTTGTACATTTATGCATGGGACCACTGACGTGCCTGTGCTAATGGATAATTTAGAAGCTTCTCCCACACACTCTGGTATCATATCCCCTGGCTTGTCATCTTTCCCTTCCCACCATCACTAGTGCTGTGAGGGTTGTGTGTCAGCCAGAGTCACCACCCAACCTGGCTCTCTTTAAGGGGCAGGTGGGTGCCTTCTGGCAGCATGCCATGGTGGCCAACCTGAAGGCGGGAAAGGATGTCAGGATAGCCAGTCCTTGAGACCCACACGGACCCCATCCCACTCTGTATCCTATCCCTTTCTTCCTCCCCGCCTGGTTCCCATCCTCCCACCAGAGACAGTGTGTGTACTAAGAAAAGGAGCCAATTATAGTCAATATATTCTGAGGGTTCTGGACACCATTCAGTCCTGAATTCCACTTTTGTTGACTCATCCTGGGTCCACCTGAGGCAGCTGGAAGCTGTGCTAAGAGTGACTACTAGAGGGAACCAACTCCATACTTTGCCCTCCCCTCTCCCTGAGCCTTGGGGCTCCCGCAGGTCTGTGGGGGCTAAGAACCCAGACTCAGGTGGGTTCTTGAGCCTGTAGCAGAGATACAAACCAAGAAACAGCAATCCTGGGAACAAACACGGACCACAACCGCTTCCTCCCATAGCCCTGAATCCATCAGAGAATCTCAAAGTTGTAGGAGCTCTTGAAGGTTTGAGTCTCCACCCTCCACCGCTTTGGAGCTCAGAACACATCCTGCCGAAGGATGCCCTATGCAGCCATGGAAGCCCATCCTCCTTTTTCTCCTCCTCCTTTCCAGATCTGTATGGAGCTTATCCAGTTGCAGAGGTCCTGCCTGTGCATTCTCACACATGACCTGCCACTTGTCTGTGAAGGAGCTATTATGACATCCCATTTCACAGATCAAGAGTCTGAGGCTCAGAGAGACTGACTTGCATGAGCTACCTCAGCCAGGGAAGCAGAGCTCCACAAGCTTGCTCTTCCCACACTTTCTCTAGGCTGGGCACAGTGGCTCACGCCTGTAATCCCAGCACTTTGGGAGGCTGAGATGGGTGGATCACCTGAGGTCAGGAGTTCAAGACCAGAGTGATCAACATGGGAAAACTCCATCTCTGTTGAAAGTACAAAAATTAGCTGGGCATGGTAGCTTGCTCCTGTAAACACAGGTACTCAGGAGGCTGAGGCAGGAGAATCCCTTGAACTCAACAGGCAGAGGTTGAAGTGAGCCAATATTGCGCCACTGTATTCCAACCTGGGTGACAGAGCAGAGCACCCTTAAAGAAAAAAGTCCTCTCTCCAGAGGTAGTGTGGTGCTACTCAGTTATTTATTTTAGTTTCATCTTTTTTTTTTCTGTTGGGGGGAGATGGAGTCTCTGTCACCCTGACTGGAGTGCAGTGGCATGATCTCGGCTCACTGCAACCTCTGCCTCCCAGGTTCAAGTGATTCTCCTGCCTCAGCCTCCTGAGTAGCTGGGATTATACACACCCGCCACTATGGCGGGCTAATTTTTGTATTTTTTAAGTAGAGACAGGGTTTCACCATGTTGACCCAGCTGATCTCAAACTCCTGACTTCCGGTGATCTGCCCACCTTGGCCTCCCAAAGTACTGAGATTACAGGTGTGAGTCACCACTCCCAACCCAGTTATTTCAGCTTCTAAATTTCTCTGAGTTTAGGGATCCTGCCCCTAACACAAGTGGTCCTTTGCCTCATTTTGTCCTTCCGTAAGGGGCAGATTGTTCTCCCTCAGTTCCCAGGTGAGAATGGCCCAGTGGCTCTGGGTGTCTTGTTGAAACCTCACAGCAGGACAAGGTGAAGGCAGAGAAGGCCAGGACTGAGCCTCCTGTCTCCTGGTTGGGGCTGTTGCAATATCATCTGGAGGTCACAAGCATCAGATGCCCCCAGAGATGAGAGCAGGAAAGAACACCCTCTACTGCCCTGAAATCTTCCACCCTGAGTTTAAGGGCATCCAGCATGCAATACTGTAGAAACACAAGCAAGCAAACAAACGCTTTTAGAAGTGGTTGGCAGTCGTGTTGCTAACCAACATTGAAAACCCACAACCCTGTGGTCGAGGATGTGAATGCTGGGCTCTGCCACCTCCCCCTTTTCAGAGCAGAAGACGGAGCTCATTTTCTGCCATCATTTCTGAAGCATTACCCAACCAGCACCCCAGACTCATCATCTGCTGGGAGGGCGCTGGGCTGTGGGCTGTTCTCCAGGCAGGCCTGTGGGAGGACCCGAGAGGGATGTCATCAATGACACCAGCTCTGAGAAACATGGGGTCACTGGGAGGGTGGAGACACCACTTACCCCTGCTCCTTCCAGCACCACCAAAGAGGAGGAGCCAGGTGGGAATGGAGGAGGGTCCCTGAGCTCCATGTAGCTTTCTGTGTCCCCCACCATCCTTCCACCAATGTCAACTGGGACATGGAGCCCCCATGACAGGGCCTTTTAGCCAGTGCTGGGGATTTAGATGTGGACTGTGAGTTCTGCAGGTGGTGCTGGTTCCCACCCCTCTCCATTGCATCTTCCTAAGGGAAGCGAGTATCAGCTGGGATTTATCCCTTCCCATCCAGTTCTCATTGCTTACCTTGTTATCTATGTGGCACCTGTTGGCACTGCATTTTCAATCCCGAATAAAATGTGTCTTCCACTTCCCTTGCCCTAATTCAGACCCCAAATGCTCTGGTTCTGTATGTATCAAACTGATTTTTGCATTGTTCTCATTTCCCAAGGATTGTTGGGCTTAAGAAATAGTCACCATAAAATTCGTCTGTACACACGTAGTTCTGTGACATTGTTTTCCCATCTGTTGGGAAATTTTTGCCTCTGCACATAAAAGCCTGCTTGTTTTCATTTATTCCCACTCCTGGGGGGCTAGGTTTGGTGTTGCTGGTGATGGTTGGGGAAGAAGAAATGCTTCCAAGTCATTTCTGTGATGACCAGGGAGCTATTACCAGCAACTGGGAACACTGACCTGGTGGAGTGGTCTCAGTGAGTAATGGACAGCAGTCATGTGCCAGCTTCCTTCTGGCCCAGGAAGAGTCAAGTCCTTTATGTTTCAGGGGCCTGGTTCCCAATAGACCTCACAGGCCCTGCAGGTTGTCTTCCCAACCTGCCCTTTGCTCCATACCCCCATCCTCCATCCCATAATATTAGAGAAGGTCACCTAGTCAGACAACATGATGCAACTTAATTTTATTAGGACAGGGCTGGTGGGCACTGGAGTACCACCTTCCAGGGCCAAGAGAGGCACTGGGGAGGGGTCTCAAGGATGCCACCTGGCAGCTAGAAGCCACAGCTGCCCTCCACAGAGTGGCACTGCACAATGCACAGGAACTTCTCAACCTTGTCTATGTCCTTCCGGAAGCAGTGGAGCAGTGTGTCATCGTTGTGTGAGTTTCTGTCAAACTTGCTGTAGGTCTGCCTGAAGATCTCCCCAGTCCGGGGGCTGCCATCTTCCAGCCTCTGTAAAGTGAAGGAAGAGAAGGAGAGGCCAAGCGCTTGGACACTGTTCCCTCCCTCTCTCACTCATTCTTTCTCCTCCCTCCCCTCCAGGGTGTAGAGAAAGGCCTGGAGGATTCACTTGTGGAAATGAAGAATATGCTGAGTTCTCTTGGATCAGGGCCTGACAACTAAAAAGAGAGCAGCAGTGTTTCTTTCCCCCAGCTTTGGAAGCCAGCAGGGCCCGAGAATTGGGGACCCCTGGCACCACCCTCACCCCCGTCAGAGTTTGGATGCCTTCCTCTAGGTCCTTCAGGTACTCATAGATGTCAGTATTCGAGATGCTATGCAGTTGGCTGTTGGTAAAGACACTGTTGAGGAACTTCACAGGCTTCAGCCACAACTGGCTGAGCAGCAGGGAGATACGGAGCAGCTCTAGGTTCTGTAGGGGAAGGACCGGCAGTGGGTGTGCTGCCCAGTGGCTCTGGCTCTGACCACAGGCCTCCCCCATCCCTGCCTGGGGAGAAGGCAGCCACTCATGGATTTCTGTTGAGTTTCCTTTTTGTTAGCTGGTGTTGGGACAGACTCTGAGAAGGAGGGGTATGTCTGGGGATTCTGCAGGAAGGAGTATTTCTGTTACTTTGGGATATAGGCTTCTTCCTAGAAGAAGGACCGCCCACCAAGCTCTATGCTGGTGACCAGCTCCCACTCTTACTTTTCTGGGACCTCACTCAGTGTATGCTCATCTGCCTGCATCTTCACTTCAGAAACAACTATGAGCTCCTTCGTCTCCTCCCATTACTTCCCAGCTGGGAGAGTCACCCCTTTCTGCCACCCCTGATGGGCACCTATTCTCCAAGAGCTTACAAATCCCGGTGGGTGTCAAAGGCCAGCTGGTGCAGGCGATGGGTGTGAGCATCGTGTCAACACAAAGCCTGGATAAGGGAATTGTTTGGAAGTCACCTTGAAGCTGGGGCAGGCAGAGCAGGGCAAAAGCCAGGAGCAGGGACGCCCGGGAGCCTGGTGAGAAACCAGAGAGCAAGGGAGGGAGCCGGAGAGCAAGAGGCCAGTGCTCTTCCTCATGGGCTGTTTATTTTTTTAATCTCTCTGGGACCAGGAACATTCTGAGATTGGCCAAATAGCTGGGTTTAGATGGCCATACCCACATTCAGAAGCCTCAAACCTGAGGGTTAGTGCCCCTGTCCCATCTACAGGGCCCGCCTCTTCCCTTGGGACATATTGTGCCCTAAGGGATTTTAGGGGCGCTCACCTGCAGCCATTGCAGCTAGGTGATCTGTCCACAGAACCCTTAGTAGTTTGGGGAGGTGGGCCTTGGGACCCTGGAGCTGGTTTCTTGTCAGCCCTTGTTATACCCTCGCCCCTTCTCTCTGCCTGCTGGCCCCCACCTGTTTCTATGCATGTTCATGCAAGGGGACCACTGACATGCCTGTGCTAATGGGTAATTTAGAAGCTTCTCCTACACATGCTGGTATCATGCCCCCTGGCTTGTCATCTTTTCCTTCCCACCGTCACCAGCACTGTGAGGGTTGTGAATAGAGTGTCAGCCAGAGGCACCACCCATCCTGTCCCCTCTTTTAGGGGCAGGTGGGTGGTGCCTCTGGCAGCATGCCATGCCGGCCAACCTGAAGGTGGGAAAGGATGTCAGAATAGCCAGTCCTTGAGACCCCACTCTCCCCCACTGACCCCATCCCACTCTCTATCCTATCCCTTTCCTCCTCCCCGCGTGGTTCCCCTCCACCCACCAGAAAGAGTGTGTGCTGGGAAAAGGGGCCAACTACAGCCAATAGATTCTGGGGATTTAGGGCATGATTCAGTCCTGAGCTCCACTTTGGCTGAGTCCTTCTGGGTCTGCTTGAGGCAGTTGGATGCAGTGCTAACACTGACCACTAGAGGGAATCAATCCCACACTTTGCCCTTCACTTTCCCTGTGCCTTGGGGCTCCCCCAACTACTGACCATCTGGCCGAAGAACCTCTACACTAAAGGTATTGCCTCAGCTCCTTGGATCTGCAGCAGAGATACAAACCAAGAAACAGAAGGCCCGGGAACAGACACAAGCGCTTCCTCCCATAGCCCTGAATCCATCAGAGAATCTCAAAGTTGGAAGAGCTCTTGAAGGTTTGAGTCTCCTCCCCAGCTTTGGAACTCAGAACACATCCCACCGAAGGATGCCCTATGCAGCCATGGAAGCCCATCCTCCTTTTTCTCCTCCTCCTTTCCAGATCTGTGTAGAGCTTATCCAGTTGCAGAGGGCCTGCCTGTGCATTCTCACATCTGACCTGCCACTTGTCTGTGAAGGAGCTATTATGATCATCCTATTTCACAGATCAAGAGTCTGAGGTTCAGAGAGACTGATTTGCATGAGCTACCTCAGCCAGGGCAGTAGAGCTCCACAATCTTGCTCTTCCCACATTGCATCATTCAAAGTCCTTTCTCCAGGCTGGGTATGGTGGCTCACACATGTAATGCCAGCATTTTGGGAGGCTGAGGTGGATGGATCACTTGAGGTCAGGAGTTCAAGACCAGACTGGTCAACATGGCAAAACTCCATCTCTATTAAAAATACCAAAATTAGCTGTACATGGTTGTGGATGCCTGTAATCCCAGCTACTAGGGAAGGTGAGGTGGGAGAATCCCTTGAACCCAGGAAGCAGAAGTTGCAGAAAGCCAAGATCACACCTCTGCACTCCAACCTTGGTGACATAGCAGAACTCCTACTCAAAAAAATAAAAAAATTTAAAAAAGAGTCCTTTATCCAGAGCAGATAGTGTGGTACTACTCATTTATATAGATATTCTAGCTGCTGCTGCTGCTGCTGCTGCTGCTGCTGCTTCTTCTCCTTCTTCTTCTTCTTCTTCTCCTTCTCCTTCTCCTTCTCCTTCTCCTTCTCCTTCTCCTTCTCCTTCTCCTTCTCCTTCTCCTTCTCCTTCTCCTTCTCCTTCTCCTTCTCCTTCTCCTTCTCCTTCTCCTTCTCCTTCTCCTTCTTCTTCTTCTTCTTCTTCTTCTTTCTTCTTCTTCTTCTTCTTCTTCTTCTTCTTCTTCTTCTTCTTCTTCTTCTTCTTCTTCTTCTTTCTCCTTCTCCTTCTCCTTCTCCTTCTCCTTCTCCTTCTCCTTCTCCTTCTCCTTCTCCTCCTCCTTCTCCTTCTCCTTCTCCTTCCTTCTCCTTCTTCTCAGATGGAGTCTCATTCTGTCACCCAGGCTGGAGTGTAGTGGCATGATCTTGGCTCACTGCAACCTCTGCCTCCTGAGTTCAAGGGACTCTCCCGCTTCAGCCTCCTGAGTAGCTGGGATTACAGGCACCCACTACTATGCCGGGCTAATTTTTGTACCCTTTTAGTAGAGACGGGGCTTCACCATGTTGGCCAGGCTGGTCTGAAACTCCTCCTGACTTCAGGTGATCTGCCCACCTTGGCCTCCCAAATTACTGAGATTACAGGGATGAGTCATTGCTCCCAACCCAGTTATTTCAGCTTCTAAATTTCTCTGAGTTTAGGGATCCTGCCCCGACACAGGTGGTCCTTTGCCTCATTTTGTCCTTCCACAAGGGGCAGATATTCTCCCTCAATTCCCAGGTGAGAATGGCCCAGTGGCACGGGGTCCCTTGTGGAAACCTCAAAGCAGGAGAAGGCGAAGGCAGAGAAGGCCAGGACTGAGCCTCCTGTCTCCTGGTGCCCAGGGTGGGGCTATTTCAATACCATCTGGAGGTCACAAGCATCAGATGCCCCCAGAGATGAGAGCAGGAAAGAACACCCTCTCCTGCCCTGAAATCTTCCACCCTGAGTTTAAGGGCATCCAGCACGCGACGCTGTAGAAACACAAGCAAGCAAACAAGCAGATGCTTCCAGAAGTGGTTGGCAGTGTGTTGCCGACCAGCATTGAGAACCCACACCCCTGTGGTCTAGGATGTGAATGCTGTGAATGTGAACTCTCCCCGTTCCTAAGTCCCTGTCACCTCCCCCTTTTCAGAGCAGAAGACGGAGCTCATCTGCCACCACTCCTGAAGAATAACCCAACCAGCACCCCAGACTCATCATCTGCTGGGAGGGCACTGGGCTGTGGGCTGTTCTCCAGGCAGGCCTGTGGGAGGACCCAAGAGGGATGTCATCAATGATACCAGCTCTGAGAAACATGGGGTCACTGGCAGGGTGGAGACACCACTTACCCTGCTCCTTCCAGCACCACCAAAGAGGAGGAGCCAGGTGGGAATGGAGGAGAGTCCCTGAGCTCCTCGTAGCTTTCTGTGTCCCCCACCATCCTTCCTCCAGTGTCAACTGGGACACGGAACCCCCATGACAGGGCCTTTTAGTCAGTACTGGGGACTTAGATGTGGACTGTGAGTTCTGCAGGTGGTGCTGGTTCCCACCCCTCTCCATTGCATCTTCCTAAGGGAAGTGAGTATCAGCTGGGATTTATCCCTTCCCATCCAGCCCTCATTGCTTACATTGTTATCTATCTGGAACCTGTTGGCACTTCATTTTCAACCCCAAATAACATGTGTCTTCCACTTCCCTTGACCTAATTCAGATCCCAAATGCTCTGGTTCTGTATGTATCAAACTCATTTTTGCATTGTTCTCATTTCCCAAGGGTAGTTGGGCTTAAGGAATATTCATCTTAAAATTCTTCTGCACACAATTCCATGACATTGTTTTCTCACCAGTTGGCGAACTTTTGCCTCTGCACTTAATAGCTGGTCTCGTTTCCATTTATTCCCACTCCTAGGGGGTAGGTTTGGTGTTTCTGGTGATGGTCATGGAGGAGGAAATGCCTTCAGATCATCTCTGGGATGACCAATGTGTGACCAGCAAGCTGGGAGCACTGACCTGGTGGAGTGGCCTCAGTGGGTGAGACAGCAGTGCTGTGCCGGCTTTCTTCTGGCCCAGGAAGAGCCAAGTCCATTATGCTTCAGGGGCCTGGTTCCCAATAAACCCCTCTGCCTCTGTGGGTTGTCTTCCCAACCTGCCCCTTGCTCCATACCCCCACCCTCCACCCCATAATATTACAGAAGGGCACCTGGTCAGACAACATGATGCAACTTAGTTTTATTAGGACAGGGATGGAGGGACTGGAGTGCCACCTTCTGGGCCCAGGAGAGGCACTGGGGAGGGGTCTCAGGGATGCCACCTGGCAGCTAGAAGCCACAGCTGCCCTCCACAGAGTGGCACTGCACAATGCGCAGGAATGTCTCGACCTTGCTCATGTCCTTCCGGAAGCAGAAGAGCAGCCAGTAGTTCTTGAGCAGTGTGTCATCGTTGTGCAGGCTTCTGTCAAACTTGCTGTAGGTCTGCCTGAAGATCTCCCCAGTCTGGGGGCTGCCATCTTCCAGCCTCTGCAAAGTGAAGGAAGAGAAGGAGAGGCCAAGCGCTTGGACACTGTTGCCTCCCTCTCTCACTCATTCTTTCTCCTCCCTCCCCTCCAGGGTATAGAGAAAGGCCTGGAGGATTCATGAGTGGAAATGAAGAATAAGCTGAGTTATCCTGGGTCAGGGCCTAACTGCTAAAAAGAGGGCAGCAGTGTTTCTTTCCCCCAGCACTGGAAGCTTGTGGGGCCCCAGGATTGGAGACTCCTGGCGCCACCCTCACCCCCGTCAGAGTTTGGATGCCTTCCTCTAGGTCCTTCAGGTACTCATAGACATCAGTGTTCACGATGCTATGCAGTTGGCTGTTGGCAAAGATACTGCCGAGGCGCTGCATGGGTTCAAGCCAGGACTGGATGAGCAGCAGGGAGATGTGGAGCAGCTCTACGTTCTGCAGGGGAAGGATTGGCAGTGGGTGTGCTGCCCGGGGGCTCTGACCACAGGCCTCCCCATCCCTGCTTGGGGAGAGGGCGACCACTCACGGATTTTCCCAGCATTTCCTCCTTGTGGAAGGGTGTTGGGATAGACTCTGAGAAGCAGACGAAGGTCTCGGGGTTACGCAGGAAGAAATACTTCTGTTCCTTCGGGACACAATTTTTTTCCTAGCAGAAAGATCACACATCAAGGTCTATGCTGGTGACCAGCTCCCATTCTTTCTTTTCTGGGACCTCACTCAGCATATGCTCATCTGCCTGCATTTTCACTTCAGAAAACAACCCTGAGCTCCTTCATCTCCTCCCATTACTTTCTAGCAGGGGAAAGTCACCCCTTCCTGCCACCCCGATGGGCACCTATTCCCCAAGAGCTTACAAACTCCCGGTAGGTTTCCAAGGCCAGATGGTGCAGCTGACGGGCACGGAGCATAGCGTCACCAAAAAGCCTGGATAAGGGAATTCTTGGAAGGGCACCAGTCTCTTGAAGCCAGGGCAGGCAGAGCAGGGCAAAAGCCATGAGCAGGGACATCCGGGAGCCTGGGGAGATAGTGTAGGGAAAGGGAGGGAGCCAGAAAGCAAGAGGCCAGTGCTCTTGCTCAGGGGCAGTTTTTTTTAGTCTCCCTCCAGGGACCAGGAACATTCTGAGATTGGCCTAATATCTGGGCTTAGATGGTGATACTCACATCCAGAAGCCCCAAACCTGAGGGTTAGGACCCCTGTCCCATCTACAGGGCGCCACCTCTCCTCTCCAGACACATCCTGCTCATAGGGATTTTAGGGACCCTTACCTGCAGCCATTGCAGCTGGGTGAGCTGTCCACAGGTCTCCGTGGTTTGGGGAGTTGGGCCTTGAGATCCTGGAGCTGGTCTCTTGTGGGCCCTTTTATACCCTTGCCCCTTCTCTCTGCCTGCTGGCCCCCACCTGTTTCTATGCACGTTTATGCAAGGGGGGCCACTGACATGCCTGTGCTAATGGATAATTTAGAAGCTTCTACACATGCTGGTATCATGCCCCCTGGCTTGTCATCTTTCCCTTCCCACCGTCACCAGCGCTGTGAGGGTTGTGCACAGAGTGTCAGCCAGAGGCACCACCCATCCTGGCCTCTCTTTTAGGGGCAGGTGGGTGCCCTCTGGCAGCATGCCATGCTGGCCAACCTGAAGGCGGGAAAGGATGTCAGGATAGCCAGTCCTTGAGACCCACATAGACCCCATCCCACTCTGTATTCTATCACTTTCATCCTTACCACATGGTTTCCCTCCACGCACCAGAGAGAATGTGTGTTCTGGGAAAAGGGGCCAACCACAGCCAATAGATTCTGGGGGTTCTGGGCATGATTCAGTCCTGAATTCCACTTTTGCCTAGTCCTGGGCCCTCCGGAGGCAGCTGGATGCAGTGCTAACACTGACCACTAGAGGGAATCAACCCCTTTCGTGGCCCTACGCTCTCCCTGAGCATTGGGGCTCCTCCAGGTCCGTGGGGACTAAGAACACAGACTCAGGGTATTACCCCAGCTCCTTGGACCTGCAGCAGAGATAAAAACCAAGAAACAGAAATCCCGGCAACAGACACGGACCACAAGCACTTCCTCCCATAGCCCTGAATCCATCAGAGAATCTGAAAGTTGGAAGAGCTTTTGAAGGTTTGAGTCTCCTCCCCAGCTTTGGAACTCAGAACACATCCCGCCAAAAGATGCCCTATGCAGCCATGGAAACCCCTCCTCCTTTTTCTCCTCCTCCTTTCCAGATCTGTGTAGAGCGTATCCAGTTGCAGAGGGCCTGCCTGTGCATTCTCATATCTGATCTGCCACTTGTCTTGTGAAGGAGCTATTATGATCACCCCATTTCACAGATCAAGAGACTGAGGCTCAGAGAGACTGACTTGCATGAGCTACCTCAGCCAGGGCAGATCTTCACAACCTTGCTCTTCCCACATTGTGTCATTTAAAGTCCTTTCTCTAGGCCGGGCATGGTGGTTAACACCTGTAATCCCAGCACTTTGGGAGGCGGAGGTGGGTGGATCATTTGAGATCAGCAATTCACGACCTGCCTGGTCAACATGGCCAAACCCCATCTCTATTAAAAATAGCAAAATTAGCTGTGCATGGTGGCGCATGCCTATAATCCCAGTTACTTGTTGGGGGCGGGGCTGGTGGGTGAGGTGGGAGAATCCCTTGAACACAGGAGGCAGAGGTTGCAGTGAGCTAAGATCCCACCTCTACACTCAGGCCTTGGTGACATAGCAGAACTCCAGCTTAAAAGAAAAAAAAGAAGACAGAGCAGGTAGTGTGGTGCTACTAGTTATATAGTTATTCTGGCTCCTTCTTTTTTTTTTTTTTTCCAGATGGAATCTCATTCTGTCACACTGGCTGGAGTGCAGTGGCATGATCTTGGCTCACTGCAACCTCTGCCTCCTGGATTCAAGTGATTCTCCCACCTCAGCCTCCTGAGTATCTGGGATTTTGGGCACCAACCAGTATATGGGGCTAGTTTTTGTACTTTTTTAGTAGAGACAGGGTTTCACCATGTTGGCCAGGCTGGTCTCAAACTCCTGACTTCAGGTAATCCACATGCCTTGGCCTCCTAAGTACTGAGATTACAGTTGTGAGTCACTGTTCCCAACCCAGTTATTTATCTTCTAAATTTCTCTGAGTTCAGGGATCCTGCCCCCAACACAAGTGGCCTTTGCCTCATTTTGTCGTTTCATAAGGAACAGATTGTTCTCCCTCAGTTCCCAGGTGAGAATGGCCCAGTGGCACAGGGTGCCTTTTGGAAACCTCACAGCAGGACAAGGCGAAGGCAGAGAAGGCCAGGACTGAGCCCCCTGTCTCCTGATGCCCAGGGTTGGGGCTATTTCAATATCATCTGGAGGTCACAGGCATCAGATGCCCCCAGAGATGAGAGCAGGAAAGAACACCCTCTCCTGCCCTGAAATCTTCCACCCTGAGTTTAAGGGCATCCAGCACACGACGCTGTAGAAACACAAGCAAGCAAACAAGCAGATGCTTCCAGAAGTGGTTGGCAGTGTGTTGCCGCCCAGCATTGAGAACCCACACCCCTGTGGTCTAGGATGTGAATGCTGTGAATGTGAACTCTCCCCGTTCCTAAGTCCCTGCCACCTCCCCCTTTTCAGAGCAGAAGACGGAGCTCATCTGCCACGACTCCTGAAGAATAACCCAACCAGCACCCCAGACTCATCATCTGCTGGGAGGGCGCTGGGCTGTGGGCTGTTCTCCAGGCAGGCCTGTGGGAGGACCTGAGAGGGATGTCATCAATGACACCAGCTCTGAGAAACATGGGGTCACTGGGAGGGTGGAGACACCACTTACCCCTGCTCCTTCCAGCACCACCAAAGAGGAGGAGCCAGGTGGGAATGGAGGAGGGTCCCTGAGCTCCATGTAGCTTTCTGTGTCCCCCACCATCCTTCCACCAATGTCAACTGGGACATGGAGCCCCATGACAGGGCCTTTTAGCCAGTGCAGGGGACTTAGATGTGGACTGTGAGTTCTGCAGGTGGTGCTGGTTCCCACTCCTCTCATTGCATCCCCCTAAGGGAAACGAGTATCAGCTGGGATTTATCCCTTCCCATCCAGTCCTCATTGCTTACGTTGTTATCTATCTCTGGCACCTGTAGGCACTTCATTGCCAACTCCAAATAAAATGTGTCTTCCACTTCCCTTTCCCTAATTCAGATCCTAAAAGCTCTGGTTCTCTATGTTTTAAACTCATTTTTGCATTGTTCTCATTTCCCAAGGGTAGCTGGGCTTAAGGAATATTCATGTTAAAATTCTTCTGCACACATGGAATTCTATGACATTGTTTTCTCACTTTTTGGGGAATTTTTGCCTCTGCACTTAATAGCCTGTCTTCTTTTCATTTCTTCTCACTCCTGGTGGGCTAGTTTTGGTGGTGTTGGTGATGGTCGGAGAGGAAAAAATGCTTTCAAGTCATCACTGGGATGACCGGTGAGCTGTGACCAGCAAGCTGGGAGCACTGACCTGGTGGAGTGGCCTCAGTAATAGGCAGCAGTGCTGTGCCAGCTTCCTTCTGGCCCAGGAAGAGTCAATTCCTTTATGTTTCAGGGGCCTGGTTCCCAATAGACCCCATAGGCCCTGTAGGTTGTCTTTCCAACCTGCCCCTTGCTCCCTACCTCCACCCCACACTCCATAATATTTGAGAAGGACACTTAGACAAAATGACACAACTTAATTTTATTGGGATAGGGCTGGTGGACACTGGAGTGCCACCTTCCAGGGCCAAGGGAGGCACTGGGGAGGGGTCTCAGGGATGCCACCTGGCAGCTAGAGGCCACAGCTGCCCTCCACAGCACGGCACTTCACAATGCGCAGGAATGTTGCGACCTTGTTCATGTCTCTCCGGAAGCAGTAGAGCAGCCCATAGTTCTTGAGCACTGCATCATCGTTGTGCAGGTTTCTGTCAAACTTGCTGTAGGTCTGCCTGAAGATCTCCCCAGTCCAGGGGCTGCCATCTTCCAGCCTCTGTAAAGTGAAGGAAGAGAAGGAGAGGCCAAGCGCTTGGACACTGTTGCCTCCCTCTCTCACTCATTCTTTCTCCTCCCTCCCCTCCAGGGCATAGAGAAAGGCCTGGAGGATTCACTCGTGGAAATGAAGAATATGCTCTTGGGTCAGGGCCTGACTGCTAAAAAGAGAGCAGCAGTGTTGCTTTCCCCCAGCTCTGGAAGCCAGGGGGTCCCCAGGATTGGGGACCCCTGGCACACCCTCACCCCCATCAGAGTTTGGATGACTTCCTCTAGATCCTTCAGGTACTCATAGATGAAGCTGTTTGAGACACTATGCTGTTGGCTGTTGGCAAAGACACTGTTGAGGGACTGCATGGGCTTGAGCCACATCTGGATGAGCAGCAGGGAGTTTTGGAGCAGCTCTAGGTTCTGCAGGGGAAGGACTGGCAGTGAGTGGGCTGCCCAGGGGCTCTGACCGCAGGCCTTCCCCATCCCTGCCTGGTGGAGAGGGTGGCCACTCACAGATTTCTGCAGAGTTTCCTTTCTGTTAGTGGGTGTTGGGACAGACGCTGAGAAGCAAAGGGAGGTCCTGGCGTTAAACTGGAAGAAATTCTTCTGTTCCTTCGGGCTACGAGCTTCTTCCTAAGAGAAGGACCGCCCATCAATATCTATGCTGGTGACCAGCTCCCATTGTTCCTTTTCTGGGACCTCACTCAGTGTATGCTCATCTGCCTGCGTCTTCGATTCAGAAAACTATCCTGAGCTCCTTCCTCTCCTCCCATTACTTCCCATCAAGGCAAAGTCACCCCTTCCTGCCAACCCTGACATGCATCCATTTGTCAAGAGCTTACAAACTTCTGGTAGATGTCAAAGGCCAGGTGGTTGAGGCGATAGGCGCGGATCACAGCATAGTCATAAAGCGAGGATAAGGGAATTGATTGGAAGGCACCGGCCTCTCGAAGCCAGGGCAGGCAGAGCAGGGTGAAAGTCAGGAGCAGGGATGCCGGGGAGACTAGGGAGAAACCAGTGGGCGTGGGAGGGAGCCGGAGAGCAAGAGGGCAGTGCTCTTGCTCAGGGGCTGTTTCTTTTGTGTCTCTCCATCCAGGGACCAGGAAGATTCTGAGACTGGCCAAATATCTGGGCTTAGATGGCAATACCCACATTCAGAAGCCCAAACCTGAGGACTAGTGCCTCCGTCCCATCTGTCTCTCTCCTCAGGACATATAATGCTGAAAAGGATTTTAGGAACCCTTACCTGCAGCCATTGCAGCTGGGTGAGCTGTCCACAGGACTCTCCGTGGTTTAGGGAGTTGGGTCTTGGGATCCTGGAGCTGGTCTCTCATGGGCTCTTTTATACCCTGTCCCGTTCTCTCTCCCTGCTG